GAATTGAAGCTATGTGTGATTGAAATATGTGACTAATTCGCAAATATCAAAATGCCGATTTCGGCACTTTTGCGCGCTAAGGTGTGACCAACAAAGTTGGTTTTATGGATGGTTAGACTATGATTCTAACGCAGTTTTTCGAGAGCAATCGAATTCGTGTCCGATGTTTCGTATCTTATTGGCAAATTTTTCACTGAAGTATCCAGAAGGTTATGCCTTCTCTGAGACTCTTTGAGTGTTTGACCTTTTGGTTTGCTTTAGATTAGAAAAAAAAAGTATTTAGACAAACTTTACTGACAATTTTTACTATTGTTTTAAAAACAAAAAAAACAATTATTGGAGTAAAAAAAATTCTGAACCGACGATTTTATATATATATTGTTATTACCAACAACAACAAAATTGAAAAAAAAGCAAAACTATTTATAAAAAATCGTTTCTGTTTAAATTTGTTTCATTTAAAAAACGAAAAGCGAAAATAGCAACCTTGCAAGTCGCAAGTCGCAAGTCTGCAACCACAATCGACAGGCTACAACGTGCACAGGCCACAGGGCAGTGGGTACAGGGCACAGGGCCACAGGCCCACCCACAGGGGTGACACACAGACCACAGACAGGGAATCAACCGATGCGGGGAAAGAATAAAAATACGAATACACCTTCATAAGAAGTAAGGGAGACTCAAGAGAAGATGCAAAAGCCAAAAAAATAATATATAACAAAAATACTCCGATAAACAATTCTGAATATTACTCTTAGTTCGGATGTGCTACTTTGTTTTTAGGGTCCCCCCCACGGCCCCACCCCTGGATTTTTTTGTTGATTTTGGTGCACTTTGGACATTTAAGTTTTTGTACACCTATAGCTTATAGGTACATTATACATTATAGTTTTTTTTATACAAATTGGCTGTGTAAATATTTATGGAAAAGGTTGGTACCCTACTTTCTCTCTCTAGAGAGAATAACAGAGAAAATATTTACACTAAAAGTACAGTCCCAAAATAGTAAATATCCTTTGTAAATATCAAACAAAATAATTATGTTTCAATTACGACAATTCCAGGGTTTGAGCATGTATCAGGAACTAGGTCAAAACTAAGGTTCAATGTTAATTTCTAATTTGTAAAGTCCAACCCCCCCGGTCCCCCCCCCCTCCTTCTTTATTTTGGGCCCTAAATAAACATAAATCAAAGTAACACATCCGAACCACCATATTATTTAAAAATAAATATATCAAATACGCAAGCGGCGAGTCGCGCGTGAATTGTATGATAGCGGACAGTCGCACAGTCAGACTACCAGTAGTGCGTATAGTTTTATACGCTCGGTGAGGCCAGAGCGTGCTATTTATGTGATCACTGTGACTCTACTTTTCGCAAGAAGAGAGAGAAAGAGAGTAGAAAAGAGAGTAATAGTGAAATTATTTCAATTTGAAAATGGTTTTAGTGGAGTCAAAGAGTACAAGCTCTTTCCATTTTTTCTTGCTATATATACTTCAGTTTTCTAACTGGTTTTATTTACAAGTTTGCGTGTAATTCGGTTGTACTTGCGAGAGTAAAGACTAATGGTAAGCACAATACAAAAGAATGGAAAATGATAGAATAAGTTTGTTCGAATAATTTGATTCATATAGTTCCTAATATATTCAGAAAAAAATTATACTAAAAAAGTGAAAAAGATAATCAATAGATCAATCAAAGCAATTAGATTTATATATTTCTGGGTTTTAAACCTATCAAATTTGAATCATTTCAGAATTAAATATTGTTTGAAAGACATGAGACTATCAATGGTTCAATAAAACCTTTTACATTTATAGTTTTGGGAATAGTAATCCAATTAAAAACCCTGTATACAAATACACAAGTCACAAAAACAGAAACAGGATTGTACTTTCGTGGGAAAAATATGCAAACGCCGTACTATTTTTATTTAACGATAAATTATCGGCATACTCTAACAACCTTTTTCAGTGGAGTAGTCGATATTCTGTATCTGGATTTGTTGCTCATGATATATGGCTCGTATATAAAGAAACTGTAAGGGGTATAAAACATAGCCTTCTAAATTATACCTCTAGCTCTAGAGAGAAGGCTATGTATAAAAAGCCTACTAAACAAGTCTGACAAGATTGTTTGTGATTTTTTGAAACATCAATATAATTCGTGCTTAGTTTTTTTATTAAAAACATTATACTTTTGAAATGAAATAGTATTGCAACAACGTAAAAAGAAGAACATTCATCACTCAATATACTCCCTACTGAAAATCAAAATCAAGTGAGCTTTTACCCTTTTGTTCTACATGAGATTTCTGTTCTCATTGAGCTCACCTTACTGAGAGTCTGAGAGTAGTATTATAAATAGAGAGAAAGTTGAGAAATTGAAATATAAAGATTGATTTGTTATTTTGAAAATTATTATTTGAACTTATGAGTATCCAAAAACGATCTTTTGGACATATTGTGGCCCTATGTTTTTATTACCTTTTAGAGACAATTATAATTAAAATGAAACTTTTAGGCATTCTGTGAGAAGTCCCAGAATCCCGATTGTGAAACGTCATTTTGACCGTACAAGAGATTTCTATTCTAAGGTCCGTTGTGACCCCCTTTCCTTTTTTAAACTTCACTGCTGTGCAGGTGCACCATATAACTTTTGTTTTGTTTTTGATTGTTGTTACAAAACTAGGACCAAATTGTTATTTTTTAGGCTATGACCAAATTAAAAATAAATAAATACTTTTCTGTTTCTATAACATCCAAAATCCTTATCACCTGTTGTATCTTGTTTTGTTTTTGAAAAAAAGGGCCTGAATGGCTGTATAATTTAGAGCGCTGTGGAATGGCCTTTTTAAAAAAAAAGGCTGGAGGCCTGAGGCTTAGGGCTGAGGCCCAGGGGCTAGGGCCGAGGCCTGATGAGTGACTGAGTCCCTAAAACCCTGACACCTGAGGCCTTGTTCGCATTTTTCAAAACTAAAACTCTCAGGGCGTCTATTTATTACTCTCTCTATTAGTATTTACTATAGTAGCGACAAAGAGAGATTAGAGAGACTAGAGAGACTAGAGAGACTAGAGAGACTAGAGAGACTAGTGAGACTAGAGAGACTAGAGAGACTAGTGAGACTAGTGAGACTAGCAAGACTAGAGAGACTAGTGAGACTAGAGAGACTAGATAGACTAGAGAGACTAGAGAGACTAGAGAGACTAGCGAGACTAGTGAGACTAGTGAGACTAGAGAGACTAGTGAGACTAGAGGGAGCCTTTCTCTCTCTCTCTCTGAGTAATATTCTGTTTTGAAAAAAATAGAAAATATTCATTGTCTTTTTTTGTTGGTTTAAAAAAATATATAACTACGTATGTACTATGTAAATAAAAAAAACCCACACACTATACACACACTATACAGCAAAATACAAAATTAACAATAAATTTACTTATTTTAAAAAAAGAATAAAATAGAAGGACTCTTTTTCTTGAGACTTTCAGTATTTTCTTGTTGTTAATTATTGATTTGTATTAAAAAAAAAAAAGGGTTATAAATTGAAAAATGATATTTTAAAAATATTAATAATAGACGCGTCACGATATTTATAGATGATAATAAACAAAAAAAACAATATTATATACATATGTAAAAAATAAATAATAAATACATATTTTACGATGCGATCCACAAGGTATATTTTAAGAAAAATAACCCCTCAAGTCCGCATAAGAGAACAATGAGGATGCGTCAAATTTTTGTTACGAAAATTCAGAGTCTCACAGTGAGTCTCTAAAAAAAAATACTACTGTTCACTGTTGTGAAGAAACTCATTTTTAATCGGAGTAAAGTGTACATGGACAGCGGACGCAACTATTTTAAGTACATTTTAATTGGTCCCAACGGTCAAATAAGACAGTGCCATACTATGTGTAGTATTTTTTAATACCCCAAAGTGCGAGAGATAGCCCGATAGTCCGTAGAGGGGAGAGAGAAGTGCGGTGGCCTGGTGGGGGATGTATATAAAATTTATAAATATATATAAAGTCGGTGAACAACGGAGTCTGCGAATCAGTAACTTACTGCAGTCATATGTGCCGCAACTCGGAATGAATTAAATATTGAAATGTAAACCATCACCACAAACAAAAGGAAACAGCACATGAACTTACAAATATAACAGTAACATGGCGGAATCGTCAAAGTACAATGAGTACAATTGCGCCGTATGTGGGGCGAGAGCCCAACTAATTTGCTCATGTCTGCAGAGGCGTTATTGCACCATAGAATGCCAGGTAAGCCAATTCGTTCTTTAAATATGCCGCCAGAATTACCGATACCGAGTATTTGTGCACTATAAGGTGCGCTGCGCCGCGTCACTTCTTTTGTTTTGAATGTATCTATGTATGTTTTCTGCCGTCTCTGTGTAAAATATGTCAGATTTCTTGGCATACATATGCTAATCGTCATAACCGAGTTGCTACACTACTAAGTAGCCTTTTTTACCTCTAGTTTATACTAGTAACAAATGGTCTGCATCTTTGTATATCATTGATTCTATATAGGTATATTGAGCCATTTTTGTGCATAAGTGTTTTCAACATTCATCACTCTATAAACACCCAAGAAGCCAAAGTTTTACGAGTTACGAATTCTAGCGCGTTTTACTTACTTCAATCTGACACCCGTGCTATCATTAAGCAAAATAACGTAAATGCAGAGAGAACAAATTGTTGTTTTCCAAGGCAACATTTCCCTTTCTACTTGCCCTTGCTATTCCAGGGTTACTCATTATTGTATACCTTGTACTATTATCACAGATTCATGATTGGCATAATAGTGGGCACTACGCCACATGCATGAGAGATAGTACCTCCAGGTATCCATCCAGGAAGCGAGTCCATCTAAATTCATCAAGGACTGCAGCAAGTGTTCCAGGGAGTGATAATCTCGTAGATAATTGCCAGCTTAGCAATCCAAGAAAATGCCAGCCTGGAGCGAATGGGGAATACAAAATGCAGCACCCAATAGTCCAACAACAGCACCAGCAACCAGTACGGATGAGATCTTCGGTATGCCCGGATGATACAGAAATATACAATGTGCAGGACTCTGAGCGTGGTGGCGAGATCGACAATGTCCAATCCCGACAAGCACGGCAACCGGAAGGAGGACAAAAGCAAACTGGACCTGTTTCAACTTTTGCTGGACGGCCTTTTGGGAGCTCACCTGCAATACGACAAGGGCAGTCGTCGGATCATTGTGGGCAGCGACAGTCTCTGAATATCTCAGCTCAGTTGACTAGCGAAAGGACAAGTGCTGCGATTCACCAGCATCCATACGAGCACACTCCCGAATGGTGTTCACAAGTGCATCATAAAGGTCAGATTAGAAGTCAGAGTTCATATCATAATCTACAACAAACACAATCTCAACCACCTCAGGCAGCTCCCAACAGACAAAATTCCAATGGTTATAGTGGGGGTCACTTACACACAGGACACAATCATGTTCAGCGGCATCATAGCATGGGTCAACAACAGAAGCGAGAGGTGATGTCACTCAATCAGGATCAGGTCCAGGCATACGCTCAGCAGAACTTCGCTCAACCAGAACATATGCACTCGAACCCACATCAGCACAGACAACGGACCTTTCATCACGCACCAATGCGACAGCGCCAACGTGTACCTCATGTTCCACTGTCTGTCTCAGTATCTGAGAAACCGATGCAGAAGCGCAAGGTTGCGCCCACTAGCTCTTCTGAGCAGAGCTCATCAGAGTCATTTGATGATGTACGTCCGCACCAAACACAGTACGCTGCTACTGGCGTTGTTGGGGCAAACATGCCACGCCACCTACAGTTTAAACGTGGAATAGAACATAGGGAAAATGAATTTTCTAGGCATGTTGGCACTACTGACGCTGTGTTAGATCAAAGGGGCAGTACTCGAACTGGAACGCTACCGTGTAGCTGTGGCCAAAGCAATGGCACGGGTCTACAACAGTCCATACACATGATACCGAACTCGAACGGTCACAACATGTGTTCAACTGAGCAAGTACCCTTACGACAGAGTGAAGGTGATGGAGCTAATTGCAGAATTATAGGTGGTAGCATAAGCACTGAAGTGCCAAGTGGTTCGGGTTCAGGTTCAGGCTCAGGCAACGATAATAATAATGAACATGCTTCGAGCCAAGTAAAATTTCAGAGATTGAATGGTCCACACAAAATTCAAGAGACTTCGAATCAACAGCGGAGTGAATCGAGTGGAATGCCTGGGGATGTGAACAGCCAAACGCAGGCCATGAAACTTCAAGCCAATGCAGGTAGCGGGATGAATCCAAATCTTTATTTTGGTGGAAATGGTGGTGGCTCTAGTACTGAACGACAGAGCGGGTCAAATGGAAGCAACAGTGACGAGCAAGAGCGTACCAATACACAGCCCCGAGTAACGAGCATGGGAAACTACTTTATGCAGACTTTGAGTAGAGATGCGCGAGTTAGCGAAGAGCAGACTGCATCTGCAGGCAGTAACAGTGAAGAACAAAAGATACAGACATGCCAACATAATTTGGCGTACAATCGACAGCAAACATGTACCTGTAATCATTCAATGAATACTCAGCCAAAATCCAATACGGAGAGTATGCAGCACGAGATGGTCATGGGGATGGACAGCTCTGCGCAGCGTACGGGTTCAGCAAGGCAAGAAGTACAGCAGTGGCAGGCTTCATCTTCTAATCGTGGAGGAGGGGCATTTCCCATACGTACTGGGTTTACTGCCAAGGATGATGCTAGTGGACAGCTAGACGTCCAGAGACAACCGGCGCGGACCAAAAGGCGATCTCCGGGACCTGATCAACCAACTCATGATCATGATCAGGTTCATCATCAGCAATGTCACGTTCAGTCTCACATTCAACAGTTCCGCTTTCCGGATATGTTTGTCTCAACGGCATCAGATGGACGTAGTGGTGAGAGCCAGCAAACTCTCCATGGTGGAAAGGGCGAGTGTGCCAGGGGACCGTTTGCACCACTTCATAATAGTGAACCTAAAACAGCTGGTCCGAATGCCACTGCGAATAGCAACAGTGTGAATACTTTGCAAGGCGATAGAGCCATGTTACCTAACCAAGACTTGTTCCAGGAGATGTATCAGCATCGTCAACATCATAATGAATGTCAATGTCAACAACAAGAACAACATCAGCATCAACATCAACAACATCAAGAACAACATCAACATCAACATCAACAACATCAACATCAACAGCTTCATCGAGGTATAAATCAAGTGATGTCTCGGCCCCCGCCACGTGCTATCTCTGCCCCCGGCGCTGCCGGCGGCAGGGATATTTCAAGATCGGACTCTACAAATTCGGATAGTTTTGAATCTGGTTGGAGTGCGAGTATCGAGATGGGATACAACCCGACAAGCAGCGGCAATTTAAACCAGCAGATGGGACCTAGCCAGAGCCAAATCAAATTTGCCGGAGGGCCGCAGGAGCGCCAACATGTCATTATGTATCACGGATCTGTGCCGAATGGAACTAGGATTGCAAACGGGAATAAAACAGCGAGTGTATATGCAAACAATACGCAAGAGCGAGCTCGGGATGGAGATTTCACAGACTTGCAAACGACCAGTCAAGGCAGTACATCCGAGGAGGGACTGAGTTCTTCTGAAGATGGTTTCAAATTACAGTCTGAACTGCAGCAGCAGGCGCAAAATCAGAACCAGCAACAATCTCAATCTCAATCTCAATCTCGAAATATGGTTCTTGATGGCAATGGTGGCGCACATGTGGGACATCAAGCGCAACAACGTGAGGGGTTAAGTAGTGGTACCTGTGTGCCCATCCCAAATGACAATTTGAACACAGCTGTTGAGTCGCACGAGGTATCAAATCGTGGCGAAGCTCATTTACAAACTAACAACGGCCAGAATATTTGCTTGTCAGCGTCGATGGATCCATCGCAAAGGACTAGGAATATGTATAACAATTCAGCAACTGTTCAGGAGCAACAGTTGTCCCAGGAGGCTTCTATGCACCAGCATTATCAGCCTCAACAACAGCGTCATCAAGAACAGCGACGCCAGCAACATCAGAATGTCAATCAGAGAGGAGCTCATGGTCCCCCGCCACCTGCCGCGGCCGTCGATGGCGGCGGTGGTGGTGGGAATATGTCGAGTTCTGATGTCACTAACTCGGACACTTTCGAATCTAGTTCAAGTGGGAGCGCGAGCATGCAATACAACACTGAGACTAGCGGAAATCGTGATCAACAGTCAATTCCCAGTCAGAACCAAAGGCACTACGCTGAAGGACTTGTGGAACGACAGAATACCAGTTTCTATTCCGAACCTCCTCAAGCTCGAAATGGGGAGTTCGAAGATATGCAGAAAACAAGCAATAGCCAAACGTCGGAGGAAGTCCCTGTATCTTCGGAAGCTAGTACCGATTCGCAGTTGAAGAAAGAGCAGCCGAGACTTCAGTGTCAGCTTCAGAAGTTAGTGGACACACAAGACCAAGTGAGCACGGAAGTACAAGAAGACTCCAGTACGGGGGAAGATCGTTCACAAACCACTGACGAGATGACGGTAGATTCGAAACGTGCTCAGCAGTCTGACAAGGCAGACGTTTCCCAAATGGAGCTGAATAACCCGAATTCAAGGACCCTTCCGACTAGTAACACTATGTCAACTACTGGTTCAAGCGACGGCTCCAGTTCTCAGGGTGCGAGCAATACACCTACGACGATGGAGGAAGATAACAACGCAACAGACACTGGTAAGAACAAGTTGGCATCTGAAAAGCCCTGGAAGGAGAGTGATGGCGTTGCATCTGCAAGCACAAACACTGGTGATGACAGCTCAAATAAAGTTGAAAAATCAGAGGCTGCGGAAAACACCTCCACGAAAATCGCAGGCTCCAGAGTGCATGCCTGTACCTGGGAAGGTTGTTCGAAATCGTTCTTAAGGTTGGACCATTTTCGCAGACACATGAAGACACATACTGGACAGAAGCCGTTTGCGTGTACGTGGGAAGGCTGTGACAAGAGATTTAATCAAACTAACAACTTGACTAGACATCTGAAGACACACACTGGCGAGAAACCGTATCTGTGCCCTTGGGAAGGTTGCAACAAGCGTTTAGGCGAAGCTAGTAATTTAACTAGGCATTTACGGTTGCATACCGGTCGAAAGCCCTTCCCCTGTACTTGGGAAGGGTGTGGTAAAAGCTTTGCGGATGCGAGCTATCTGTCTGCGCATATGCGAGTACATGCCAGGAGTGGAGTGTTTAAGTGCACGTGGGAAGGATGCGAAAAGACCTTCGCAGCGCCGAGTTATGTTCGGCGACATCTCAGAACACACACGAACGAACAGCCATATGAGTGTCAGACCTGTGGTAAGCGTTTTAATCAGGGCAGTAACCTGAGTAGACATATGCGCACGCATAAGGCGGGGGATGGATCTAGCGTTGCCACGAAATCGGCATCGTCGGGCTCCAAGTCTGAGCTCACGGACACTCCGCGTGATTCAGCGAAAGGCACTGTTCATCGAGTGAAGAAGGGAAAGGCTAAACCCAAAGTCAAAGTTTAAGATCCCTAGCCCTGTAAACCGAGATGTAAAATTTGAATGGAAATAGTATGAGCAAATTCAAAAGCGAAAGAATTATACAATTAGATTTAGTACGTCGATCAGGCAATAAAGTGCAGTTACTTTTACTGCATCATACATTTTGCCTGATTTTGTTTCCTGAAATATCATATTTAACTGTTGACCAAGCGTTAAAATTTGGTTTACCACAAGTAACTGCTTTCCGCATTTGCATTGTACAATCAAGCTTATTTTAACTGGTCACCTCTATCTTCTTGGTACTATCACCACAAAGGGATTTGCAGCAAATAGCAGAATGTAGATATCTGGATATCATGAATTTGCCTGGATACACCAAGCTCATCACCCATTGGATAGTACTAGAATATACCATCTTCAAGCTTTTTTCTCAAAGGTTATTCAACTATAGTACAAGTTCGAGACTATTCCTGAACGTTGACATATTAAATATATATATGTATATA